GGTGGACATCTGGTTTAGAACATAGAATAAATAGGTATTTCAGGTACCAGATGTCTCTGTTCTGTAAAAGTGAAATGGTTGTGTGATAATAACTTTCTGTTCACATAATTTTTATATTTTATCTCAACTTTCTGTGTACAATAAGTAATCCCAGAATAATACTGGAACTGAATGTATTCCTGAATTTGCATCACATACTCTGTTTGGTCCTTTGATGCATTTCATAATATCATTTCCGTAATATCTATGTAAGTGAAATAGCTCTTGTATGGACTCTTAGTCTTCATTGTTAATGCCAAGGATTATTTAATACTATGGGTGATGAAGTTACCTTGTATAATTCAAACAGTCTATCTATTGCTTTCAGGTTTATATCTATAAATATTCTTAGGTTATCTTTATTAGCTGCAGTCTTTATATCTGCACATGCGTAATACATGTAAACTTGATAATTGTAAGTAGGTATTACAAACTACAAAAGCAATGGATGTCTTCTCTCAGTTTCATCCAACACACTTTCTAATATCTAGGGTGTAAAAAATATTTACTTAATTTCCTATCAGCTGCTGTACTAAATGCTGCAATAATTTGGCTAATTTCATTCAGCTATTTTTTACAGTGAATGCTAATTGATATAATTATTCCAAATTCTTACATTAAAGACCAACAGTTCATTTCCTCTCTATGAATTTCTTTCTGTTCTATTTTGACATAGGTTATCTCATTAGTGATATTCAATAATGCAATTTGTATTTGTTTAATTTCCAGATTGGGAAGTTCTAATATCCTGTTTATTGGGTTCATTAAAGTAGCTTGTTTATCTATCAAATTTATCATTTCCTTTCATAGCTGCCTTTGGTTAACATTTTTCTGTTTAACTCTGTTAATAATTTTAGAATACTTCCTCTAGAATTAATTAATCCCGTTTATTGCCTACTTCTATCTGAGCCCCCCAGTGGAACAGCGGTATGCCTGTGGACTTACAACGCTAGAATCCGGGTTTCGATACCCGTAGTGGGCAGAGCACAGATAGCCCATTGTGTAACTTCGTGCTTAATTATAAATAAACAATAAATAAACTTCTATCAGAAACACTGTCTTTATTGTCATTTAATTCTGTAATTAAACCACCTACTTCTTCATAATATGTTCTAGTTAATTCGTTATAACTTTCTATTAATACTGTTTGTGTTAATTTTAATACTTGCACTATAAAACTATATTAGTACTAAAAGTGGTTTTGCTTCATCCTTAAGTTTAAACGTTATGCTGGTTTTTCAGTTAAAATGAATATAATTCTTCCATAAATTTGGTTAACTTTTGAAAATATTGTGGGAATAGTATGTCCTTGACAGTGATTCATTTATCATTTATCCACCTTTGACAAATACTATACCTGCTCTGTTTTGCAGTGGAGCTATACATTTTGTCTTGCTAAAACAAATGACATCAATACCTAAATGATATTCCTCCTAGTGCATCTCTAAATACACTTACTAATGATTTATATATTTTTAATTACAACTATTACATTCTTTTGCCCTCTAACGACAGTGGCTTAGCAGTACTTCCGAGGCTTATAATGCTAAATACCTGAGTTTAATACCCATGGTGGGCAAAGCACAGATAGCCAATTGTGTAGCTCTGTGGTTAAAAAATGCACTCTCTTACATAATCTAACCTACTATTATATACTTTGGATGTTTATTAGGTTATTATAGTATTTGTGCTTTTGTTTATCGAATTTATATTTCATTGTGTGATGTGTTTGACATCATGAGGATCGAACTTGACCTGCTTTGGTCTTATGCTATGTGGATCCTGAATCAAAGACTGATCTGCCACTGGTCCATGTAACCTTATGTTGTGCACTGGTGCTGACTGTACTATGTTTGTACGAGCATTTGTCATTACTGAAGGATTTTGTGCATCTGCAGTACTAGGTTCAATTGTGTTTCTTCTAGCTATGCTTACAAGCATTTGTATTTTGTTCAGTCACTTGATTAAGATCTATTAATATATCTTACTTGTCAATAATCATGTTATTAACAACATGCAAAACATTTATGGTTTCATTTTCTACATACTCAGTGTAGTCATCGTGTAATTGTAGTTCATCATTTCTTTTAAGTTTCTTATCTTATATATTTTCTTGTTAGACTGTTTGTTTAGCTAAGGCTGAATTATCAGATAAGTATTCATACTGATATGGTTAAGTTTTTTCATCTTTTTTTCAATCTGCTACTATATAGTCCTTTTGTAGTTACATTCACTGGGCTTGTTTGTTTGATTACTCTAAATGATTTCCATAAGTTAGATAACTCTTTAGTGTTTTCTGTTTTAACATGGCAATTATTCGGGACTTGCTGAACTGACCCTTATCTTGCTATATGGCAACTATATCCATCAAAAAAACAAGATTCATTATTCACATGGTGCATAAATTATAAATTATTGAGAAAATTTTGCAGCCCTAGACTGTTCAGAAGGCATGGTGTGAAACAATTGGCACCAAGAACAGTGATGAGAGTAATATCAAGTACTACTGTGATCAGCAAAAGAAGCATAAATGGAAAGAAAGCTTAAACGTTCCTTGGCTGTTCAAGAAGAGTCAAATAAAGAGAACATACCAACAACCTGAGTAAGCAATCTCTGTGAATTGATGGCCACAACAGCAATGTTAACTTCCTGGTCACTACAGCTTGTAATGAGAAATAAGCTCTTTCAACAGTTAGGATGGTCAGTTGATTGAAAAATCAATAGCTGAAAGGGAGTTGTGACTCTTACGTTCTTAGATACCTAATAGAAAATGCAGAACGACGTCAACTCATCAAATTGTACAAATCATGTTTGTATTCTGAAGTAACATAGCTTCCATTCTCATTAGTTCTACATAACTCAGAAATTCACAGAACATGGCTCGAACTAACATGAGATGTTCTGTGAATAGTTCATAGTACAAAATGAATTGGATGAACACTTTACCCAGATGTTTTGGATAATTAATGCAACTTTTTATATCAATAGAGAAACGAACTGCCACATTGCTGATGCTGGTCCCCTTGAAAATTGGACAAACAGAATGATGGTTTGATATTACCTTATGGAATGTCATGTTGTTTGTCTTTTTCATTGATATGACAGTTTTTGGAGAGGGCTGCCTTGGCCTTCTAAAGGAGTGTGCTGGTTTGGTGATTGCAGATATTCAACACATGGATATTGTTTTCATTGACTGGTGGTCCAATGATATGAGTTGTATGCTCTTCTTCCCTTAATCTTTCATTTTTCATTTAGAGATATATGAAACATTTGGTATTTTAACATACCAAAATAACTAAGAAAATTTAAAGCAGAGAATCACAAACACCCGGCTTAACTGTAGCTTAACTGTAGTACGATAGTCTCTAACTAGGTAGTACTCACTTCTATAGATGTTATATTGCATATTATGTAAACATGTTTAAACTATTTACCATTTATTTGTGAATGTCGGGATGACTCTAGAACAACAGTCACATGATAGACAGACAGCTACCCAGCATGAAAAACCAAATCTCCCTGAGGTGATTTGTAAAATGTCCCAAGAATCTTTTCAGTGGCTGGTGAGATATATGACCATACATTAGCACCATACCTTAGAGCCAAAACATAGATAGCATTTCGAAAAATGGAGTATCATTCACTGTTTTCTATGTAAGCGAAATAAAAACACACAGCAAAGTGCATTTAAGGATAACAAAAAAGGCTTCAACACCACACCCAACCAATCAGAAGTCAAGTCTTCATCGACAGAGTGAAGATATGGTTATGAACGAGAAGCCTCCAATTCAAAAATTAATTGCAAAGATATTGTGCATATCTCCTGGTCCTACACACATTATTAGAAACAAGAAAATGAAGTTGGTTGTGGTTCACAAGCTACTGGCCGCTCCTTAAAATACATTGTTGTTTTCATATGAAATATAGCTGAAGTAACTGAAAAGATAATAATTCCATTTGAACACAATCCTGTAAAGCCCTTAATATAGCTACATTTGATTTATTGTTCCTTTATTCTGTTTAAGAGTGTGATTGGAAGTCATATTTCATTAGTTAATACTATAGGAGTTATAGTGATATTATTTATTGGTAAATAGTAAGTTTTTTAGTGGGTTCTATTTCATTACGGTCCCCTTTGTGGGTTAGCAGTAAATTTATGGCGGACGGAGCACAGGTAGTCAAATGTGTAGTTTTGCGATAAAGCAAACTGTTAAAAGGAACTGAGCGCCGTTTATTGACTATTGGCATCCTCTCTAATTATTTAGTACACGATTTTGGTGATATTTTCTATAACTACGTACTACACTTATCCAATGAAAATTATAGCTTTAGTTATAATCTCTTCATCAATTTCACTAGAAATCAGTTTCAGAGCTATGATCAAAGGACATTTCGAGTCATACGAACTGAACATCTTTAGAAAAGCTTCCTTAACCAGAAAGTGAAAAAAACTTTCTAGCAAAAAGAAAATCAAAGTTTAACATTTCCTTTTGCATTTTTCTTATACCTGTGATCTCAGATTAGTAATGATAAGGCTTTGTGATCTAATTCTTTACTTAAAAAATAAAAGCTTTAAAAATCTGTACAAGGCATGGGTGAGAAATCAATTTTCAGGTAATAATTCTCTGAATATTAATTGGTTTTTGAAATATTAAATATATAATGTGGGAACATAAGCTTAGTCTGAAGAAGTGGCTATTAAATTAGATGTAAATGTTTCATAAATCACCAATATTTGTTTTACAATTATACAAGCTATAATTCTAACATAATTCTCTGTATATTTTGTTGTGTTTTGTTCACAAACTATTTAGCATTTAAATGGAAGGGGTTAGATGATTACCTATTCAAATCTGAGAGTTAAATTCTATAGAGAAATGAATGCAATTACATTAAATTCAAGTTTCACAGTGGATATATAATATCGAAAAAATAATGTATGTTAACAATTTATTTTTCAGATCTTACACACATAGTCGTTAACTTGGAATCTTCCCTCCGATTAACGAGCTCAGAAGTGCAGTCAGATAGTCCGAATGTTGAAATGATCCTACTGATATGGACGTCAGATTTAACTAATAGATTGGAAATACGATTGAATAAAGTTCCAGTGATTCCGAGTTACAAAAATAACGAGGTTGACAAATGGGAGGAAGTTAAAGTCGTTTTTAAAGTAACACCAAATGAACCGTTTACAGTAAGTATTTAAAATGATTGGTGTTTATGAATGTTTCAATGGTTATCTGAAAAACAAACAAAAACAAAAAGCGAACAGGGGTTTAAATTAGTATAAATAGTAAAGAAAACGTTTAATGCTGCTTCTGTTGTTAGTTATTAACGTATATATTAATTCATACAGCACTTATAAATTGGCTAAAGTGGATAAAATCATTAAAAATTCTGAATAATTATTTTTCCAGCATTTATCCCGTATCATTGGGAACGAGTAGATGCGCGTGAAACGTTGGATGTTGTTTTTTACATATTTTAATTAATTTATACTATTTTAAGCTACTTTTTTAAATGTTTTATTGTTATTAGATGTATTATAATAGCTTCCTTTGTTTATTTCTCGATTTTGAAAGAGTGAGATGACATACTGAATATAAAACTAGCTTGTCAAGCCTACACAGCTACACAGTGGGGTATCTATTCTGTGCGTACCGTGACTATCGAAAGCTAGTTTTTTTTAGCGTTGTAAGCCCTTAGACTTATCGCTGAGCTACCGGGAGGGGCTGAGTGGGGGTGGCAACAAGCAAAATCACAAATATTTATATTTATATCTAGATAATATATACTTAATAACAACTGAAAAGAAAAGAATGAAATAATAGGTAGCAAAAAGACTAAACATTAAATACTCTATTGCAGTTCTCATTTAATATATTATCTAAATAAACTGAAATTAATATAAAATTTGATGTAACAATATTTCATTGAAGCATTTGTTACATCAAACAAATATCATTTTTATGCAGTATAACTCCTATTTAAGCAGTAACTATAGAAACATTGAACAAGTTACTTTTTTTGGTTTCACAGAACCTTAAATATGTAGCTGCATGCATAATTATTTTTTCCAACATTAAAAATTGCAAATGTTTTGCTTCATCCTCATAATGCGCCTTCAGCACAGGTCAGCAAAATTTTGATTCTGGATCTACGTGAAGTTTTCTATAACATTCAACAATATCAGCACTTCTAATCTCTGTCCAACAATAAGAAATAATTAGTGCAAGTACAAAGAAGAATGTACAACGTGCACACTTTTACAAAGTCTGATTTCAAAAATATAAAATCTGCTGTAAAATTGGCACCAAGTGACCACTGCGAGTGGATCTTTACTTCAGCTATCTCATGCAACTTTTAGAATATATATATATACTAATGTCAGCACTAACGATATGAAATGACGAATTCAATCTGCATATACTTAGCTGAGGAAGGTGCTTATTTCTTTTTTAGACGTAAATAAGTATTTATTCTTAGATGTTTGGCTCATCAGTGGTGAATGAAAAATATTATCAGTTAATGAAAATAAAAAATACCCTCACCCTTATATTCCGTCAGTTCGTTCCCAGAGTTCATTTTGTAGAAGAAAGTGTCATCTAGTGTCACTGCTTTTGAAATATCCTGATCTGCATATTACATCCTTGTAAGAGTTGCTTGACGTTAAAGGTCTGGTTAAAAATAGTAATTTAGTCTAAGTATCTCGGGATGCAATACACAAAAATACGTAGAATCCATTCAAAACGCTTTACCAAGAAAAAAAAGGACTTTGGCTCAAACAGTAGAAGTGATATCTGACACGTACTGATACAAACATTCTTAAAAGTTGAATCATTGACACTTCTGAGCATTTCTGTGACTGTAGTTAAACATAAATACTGATATTGAAAACATTATATCAAAAAAAATCTGGAGCCTCAATACATCGTTACAGCCCATTTTACCACGTCTAACCATGCTCTATCTGGTGAATTTTGCATCTTGACAATAGTCCTGCAGCATAATTCCGATTGCAAAAGGCTCCGTTATAAGGCTGTCAGATGAAAAGCACATCAATCCTCTCTGCAAACATTACTTAAGCCATCTACTGTAGGAGGATTTGTTTGTTTGCTTTTGAATTTCGTGCAAAGTTGCTCGAGAGCTATCTGCGCTAGTCGTCCCCAAATTAGCAGTGACAGACTAGAGGTAATGCAATTAGTCAACACCACCCACCACCAACTCTTGGGTTATTCTTTTACTAACGAATAGTGGGATTGGCTGTCACATTATAACGCTCCAACGGCTGAAAAAGTGAGCATTTTCGGTGACGATGATTCGAACACACCACCCTCAAATTGTGAGCCGACTGCTCTAACCAACAGACCATGCCAGGCCTATGTAAGAGTACAATGGCTTCCTAGTGTTTGCTTCAACAGTTCAATCGCACAGAAATCCATAGGCACTACATCCGGTGACTTGATCGATGTGTCTTCCTGTGAAATAACATGAATACCTTTTTACTCTCCAACCTCTTCAGGTATGCAACTATTTAACTGCTATTTTAAGGAAACAGCATGTGTCCACGAGACTTCTGTCACCTTTCCATATGAAGATTCTTCTTGATTGTGTTGTTTACTGTTGCTTGAAATACATGGGCGGCTATTGACACTGAACTATATGTTTTTGTATTTTCAACTGTTACAAAACCCCATACTTTGCTTACCATGGCTTGGATACGACTTGTTGAAGGCCTGTTTCTGGAAAGTCTTGATGCCTCAAATTCATTAATGTCATTAATTATAAATGATATTATTGTCTTGGAAATTCTAAACCCCAGATCCAAACATATCTTTATGACCTAAGTGTGTGTGAATATTTTACGTAGGAAAGAGCTGTTCACTAAAACGATCATATTTCGGTAACATTACATTCTCTATTTTGTGATAAACAATGCCAAATATAGTTTCAACGTATTCCACCCACCGCCACTGCCATCCCTCTCTGGTAGCTCGGCGGTAAGTCTGACGACATAATGCTTAAAATCGAGTTTTGATACTCATGATTTAGCTTTGTGCTCAACAACAAACAAATGAACAACTGCTACATTATATCAGCTGTGATAGTCACTTGACTTGCTGAGTTGGGTGGTCAAATTGTTTTAATGTAACGTGCTAAACCTTCTGTTTATAGTCGGATTGTCAGTAAAATCATCATAATTTTATTACGTATACGTTCTCAATGAAACACTTTACATAATATTAAACATATTTAATATAATAATCACGCCGAATCGGAGGATTTTCTTATTCTAAAACAAGACAAATCGAAAAATTGGCTGCCTTTTAGCGAAATAGAAATATTATACTATTAACCGGGATATTAACTCAAAATATAGTTATAAAGCTCAACAACAAAACATTAAACAGATACTGAACAACAGATTCAATTGTTAGGCCTAAACTACATCCCTATACTACGTTACATAACATACATAGTATGCTATTTAATGGTGTGGTTGCTACTAATTTCAGTTAGAGTTTAAAGCATTATGCATGCGTTATTCATAATATAACAAATTACGATCGCAAGATTGATGAATTATTTAATTACAACACTATATTCGGCTAAAATATGGTCCTACTTCGAAAGTTGAAAAATAACTTTTTTGTTATTCATAATAACAAAGAAATCATAAACACCCGATACCAAGCCCTCGGTTTTCATAACTGCATCCCACCACAATTTAATGAGTACCAAAAATACAGAAATAAAATGTTGATTCTCCAACTTCTAAGACACCCAAGTTCTTTTCCAACCTTCTAAAACCCTTGTCTCTAAATAAATCGTAATTCCTAAAGAACTCAACTCAATTCGTAAAGAACATTTCAGCTGTAACAACATCTGATAAACTTACCCGTTTCGATACCCGTGGTGGGCAGAGCACAGATAGCCCTTGTGTAGCTTTGTGCATAATTAAAAACAAACAAACAAAACTCAAAACCGATATATCTATGGAACGCTTCTTCAAACTCCTAGATATTTGTCTGAAATCTACATACCTCCACTGGAAAAACACATTTTGTAGTATGACTTATGTCCCTCTTATGGGACTTTCCCCATCTCAATAATCACAACAAAATCTATATCAAACGACTTGAAGAAACAGCTATTTCAACATCTTTACAGATATACTGTAAAATACAATGTCTACTATAAAAGTAATAATAAATCATCTGTACGTCTTGCAACATAAAATATCGTGATATATTCGGTAAAACACATCAATTTTACAATTAAGTAAGTCCGTTGCACATCATGATTATTTAGCATGTTCAAACCCTTTCGTACTGAATGATCACTCTGTATTTGTAGAAGATGAAAGGAATTGTGTAGGGAAGACAACCCACAAGAGGGTACATTCAAAGAGGAGGACCTTGGACATGTTTTGGAACATTTCTACATCTGACGTTCTCATTTATATGGAGGTTAATATATGACAATACAAACATAGAGTGTTAAGTTATATTCTACAACATTTAGGAACCTAGCAATTTTTGGCTGCTTGTAAATTTTTCATAAAGGTGGTCGGATTTTTTCGCTATTCTAAACTTTATTATTATTACGAAGACTACCAAATTAATACAGCAGGTTTCAAGACACTCAACAAACTTTCTGAATATGCTGACTTATGCAAAACAATACACATTACCATGTTCCTGTGGTGTGAAATACATTGCAAAGTTATGTAGGACTGATATATATCAGAAAAAAGTAGATAAAAACATGTTAGTTCCATTGGTTATCATTATGTTGGATGACTATCAAACGAAAGACATTAAAGAATCAGTTCTGATCCACACGCGTGCAAACAACACTATTAAAAATGAACTTTTTATTTACTCACATTGTTTCATACAATATTTCACTTTTAATTACTGTTGTTGTTGTATGCAAATCTAAACACTGGCCACCGTGTGGAATCGAACCCCAGATCTTAGCGTTGTTAAGTGCGTAAACTTACCGCTGTTTTACCTTGGTACCTTTAACTTCAACAAATGTCTTGCTCTCGATCGGGGTTAAAAGACTGTTGAGTTAAATTTCACTTCTAATGTTTGCTGTCAGTATCTTAGAAGTAAGTACCATGTGTTTAATCTAACTCTTAGAGGCTTGAATTTCATGAATGGTTGTTATAATTGTGGCCTAAAGCTCATGATTAACGTAAAAACAATATGAAAGAAAACACTTATTTGAATAAGGTGACATGTACGTATATACAAAGAGGCCTAAAACAAAAAGCATCTCACATAAAAGAAACATATAAAACTGGGGTATAAAGCACATTCAGGGGAGGATAAAATTTACCTTAGTAAACTAGGTACATGCGAAAAAAATAGATCCCCCACAGCAAAGGAATACATCATCTATCAGGTTTCATCTTCAATCGAAGAATTAACTGTTGAAGATTGTTTGTTTGTTTTGTTTTTGTAATTAAGCGCAAAGCTACATAACGGCTATTTGTGCTGTGCCCACCACGGGTATCGAAAACCGATTTCGAGCGTTATAAGTCCACAGACCTGCCGCTGTGCCACTGAGGGGGGGGGGGGCAGTGTTGAAGAAAGAAAAATGTTTAGATTAAGAACAAATTTGGGTGCGCAAGCTCACAGTAACCAACATCTAAATACTGTCGTTCATTGTTTTCAGTCACTTTTATGAAAAAGTTAATCTTAATTAGACAATATCATAAACACAATAAAAAAGAACCAGACCATTAAAGATATAGGTAAAAACTGATCTCATGAAGATAACGTTTCATCCCCATAATTACCACACATTCACATGGATAATATAAATTACTACTAGTAACAAAAGGAATGAAAAATGTAAATATATTTTAAAGTTAAAAAGTTGTAATAAACTTCCACTTTACCACCTGGAGCACTAGACTGTTATAGAACTTGGTAATAAATTTCCAGTTTACCACCCTGAGCACTCGACAGTTATAGAACTTGGTAATAAACTTCCAGTTTACCACCCTGAGCACTAGACTGTTATAGAACTTACATAATCTCGTATGTATAGCTTTTATTACTTATATATATGTACCCATATAGCCACGCAGTGTCCGAGCAGTAAGTTCACGGGTTCATACGAATAAAAACCGAGTTTCGATACTCGGGGTGGGAAGGGCACAGATAGCTCATTGAGTAGCTTTGTACATACTACAAACGGACAAATACTCATGTCAAATCATGTAATAGTTACAAAAAATAACAATGAAATAAAGGTGACATGTCATTCGTGCCGAAACAGGCATGGTATTATAGAATTAACTTATATTTGAAAAAACAATCTTCATACTTTTGTAAAAATGTCTTTCTTATTTCTGCTTTTTAATGTGAATAATATTTTAAACTTAAATAAGGCGTATTGTTGAAAAGCATTATGCTTAATGTTTACAAGTAAAAAGCATATTTTCGTTTATTACAAGTACTGCAAAAGGAAGTAAGTATCAAATTATGAACCTTTTTGCTGAAGATGAATGAATTTTACTACTATTTGAAAGAAACGAATAAGTCTGTAAGGAATTCTCTACATTCGTGACAATTTATCAACTAAAACGTTTCGTATATTTATGTTTAAATCTATATAATGAGTTTGTATATCCAACTGAGGAGGGTGTATGATAGTAATATAGTTACTTTTGCTTTGATTATTCATAATTATTAAAATCATTATATATATATCTACAAGTTAATATAAATAAATCTGAATTTGAGGTGTTGAATATTTTTATATAAACTACTCCCGCCTTCTGTATAGTCTTGGAAATGGTGTTCTTCATAAGTACAGAGTCTACAACTTCGTCTCCAAAACTAGACTTTCTTTAATATTAACATAATAGATATATATATTTATAGATAAGTAAACATACAACTTTTCACACAAAAAATGTAAAAATGAAAAGGCGTAGCACGTAAAAGACAAAGGAATCAAAATAAAACTATGGCATAAACTACAACGTAGGAATGGTAAAAGCTGTCTCTGAAGAAATATACACAGAATTGTCTTCCTCATATGCATTCTTGATTTAACATTGTGCTTATATAGAGAAATAATAATTAAACAAACGATTAATATAATTCTTACTAAAATATCGTAGTAAGCAATTTACTCAAGTAGTTCAAAATTCCATAGTATTTAGACTGTAACTTACTTGAATATATAATGACACATAAAGCCACAAAACTCTTCTTTCTTCATTTAGGTGGATATTATAGGACTGGCAGAAATTGGGAAATTAGCAGTTGCTAACATCCAAGTCCGTATACAGTACACGTCAACAACACAAATTGTCACAACTCAACATACGCAGTTTACAGAGGATCAGTCATCTGGAATATCAACAGGATTTTTCGATCATTCTAACATTTCCACACTGAACAATGAAACGACTAATATAGCAGAATCGGGAGACACACGAACTGACTATATGACAACTGTAAACCTCTCCTCGGGCGAAACGTTTTCTACTATCCAATTGTATACAACACAGGTAATAACATCAACACCACAAGATGTAAGTAAAATAATTTCAATAAGCACAGTAGAAGAAACACCATATGCTTCAGCTTCAACAAAACATTTTGATCTAACTTCACATATAGATAACTTCACCACAGGAACGAATAAATACAAATTAAAATCCACAGCAGAAAATATCAATGAACAATATTCTGTAGATACAGTGACACAAGATTACATTTCTTCAACAATAACCAGCACAATACCAAGTGTAAAAAGCTCTGAAACGACCTCTACCACTCAGAAATTAGTATCAAAAATGGAAAATGTGAGCGAAACATCCCTTGAAAGTACAAAGGACGAAACATCAAAAACAACTTTCTCTTCCCCAAACTCCAGCACAGAGCCGAGTATAAATACCTCCACAATACAATCTTCTACATCAAAATACAGCATAGAACCTAGTATACCCAGCTCCAGTGAACAAATAATCACTCCGACCCTGTTAACAACAACAACGCTTACAACTGAAACAAATTCTGTACTTAAATCTGGAGGAACGTCTGTCTTCACTCAAGTGCTAAATACACATAGTTCTAGTAAAGTATCTACCACTGGGACAGCATCGTCAACAAAGGAAAATATAAATGAAATCTCCTCTTTAAATACAACGAGAAAAATATTAAAAACGTCTACTTCACCCGAAACGTTCAGTACTACGCAGGCGACAGAAAGTAGCTCAACACCATCTACTGCCCAATCACTAAGAACAACAGAACATGCTAGTGAAACATCGTCTGTTCATCTAACTAAAGGAACAACAAAAGTCTCGAATTTTTCGCCAACGTTCAGCACAACCGAAAGTATGTATACCTTCACTAGAAAACCCACAACACAGAAAGTAATTTCAACAGAGAAAGATACGATTGGATCATCATCTGAAAGTACAATAAACAAAATATTAGGAACTTCCTTTTATGCTGAAACATTAAACACAGAATCTAGCATACACATATCAAATGAAAAAATAATAACACCGACAGTGATAACATCAACGACTGACACAGGTGAACCCAGATCTGTACTTACATCCGAAGGATCTCCTAGATCTGTCTTCACTGAAGTGCCAAATACACATAGTTCTAGTACAGTATCTACCCCTTGGACAACATCGTCAACAAAGGAAGATATAAGTGAAATCTCCTCTTTACATACAACTCAAAAAATATCAAGAACGTCTACTTCACCAGAAACGTTCAGTACAGCGCAGGCTACAGAAAGTAGCTCAACACCATCTACTGCCCAATCATTAAGAACAACAGAACATGCTAGTGAAACATCGTCTGTTCATCTAACTGAAGGAACAATAAAAGGCTCCAGTTTTTCGCCAACGTTCAGCACAACCGAAAGTATGTATACCTCCAGTAGAAAACCCACAACACAGAAAGTAATTTCAACAGAGAAAGATACGATTGGAGCATCATCTGAAAGTACAATAAACAAAATATTAGGAACTTCCTTTAATACCGAAACATTAAACACAGAACCTAGCATACACATATCAAGTGAAAAAATAATAACACCGACAGTGATAACATCAACGACTGACACAGGTGAACGAAGATCTGTACTTACATCCGAAGGAACTCCTACATCTGTCTTCACTGAAGTGCCAAATACACATAGTTCTAGTAC